TCTAGCATCCTGGCCGTCATCTCCTCCACCATGCCCCTCAACTCCCGCAGCTCCCTCGCTGCTTGCTCAGGAGTCTGAATGAAGGAGCCGGTCCACGGGAGCGATGACGCTATGATGCCAGGTGCTCGGCAGATAGCACATGGTGGCTGCTGAGGATCTCCCTCGCGCTGGTTTGTGACATGGCCCGCCACATTTGAATTCCAGCACCCCTCGTGGAATAAGTGATTACACCTCAAACGGTAAACACTTTCCCTGGGCAGAAATTCTTCGAGGCATACCGCACAGGTATCTTCCATCCCAGTGAAAACTTCTACATCTGCTGCTCTGGGATATACCCGCCGCTGTCTCTCCAATTCCGTCTCGGAGGGCATGAAGGCAGCTGGGGGAGCTCCTGATGGATCCAGCACCTCCGGCACTCCGGCATTTGGCACGGAGGCGGTAGGGGTCACAGCGGGCGAGTTTCCACGCAAAGGTGAGCCTCTGTTTCTCACAACCTCAAGCGCAGCTGCACGTGAATGATCTCGTTCGCTCTGCACGGCCTGTCTCCGCCTAAAGCATGCCTGTTGAGTGTGGTATGTCTGCCTCATATAATCAGGCACGCCTCTACTGCCATACGATATCGAATGGGCAGTGGGCTGGACAGCCACATCTGGCGTCGTCGGTGAAGGCATGAAGGCCATGTGCGGATACATAGATTGATCACTGCAGCGCACGTTAGTGAGGCTGTGGAGCTGATCCGCCAATTCGCGAACAAACTTGTTCGGAACTCTGGACCCATCAGGGTACAATGGCGGATTCATGTGCGCTGGCGGTGGCCTCTGGCCCTGGGCCATGCTCGGGTGAGCATTGAACGCTGGGATGAAGGCTCGCTGCCGAGCAGGATCCCTTGGGTTGGGACCCTGAGGCTCCCAGGACCAGGCCGGCCTCCACCTCTGACCACTTGGGTGAGGCAGATTATGGCTCTGCACCTGCTGCACAGCGGCCGCCACTCTTGCACGGTAGTCATCAGGCACACCAGCTACTGTGGTTTGTCCAGCAAACGGCCGATGATGGCTTGGGGTGCCGGGCAGGTTTCCCTGCTGACTCGTTGGAGTGCCGGGCGGCATCATGTTCAGGAGAGCTGTACCATGCTCAGCCCTAGCCGCTGCGATCCTCTCCATGAGGGTGCCGTTCGTGGCAGGGCGGCCAGGAGTCCCGAACGGAGACTGTGCAGGTGGCGTAGCCATTGGGGTCATGCCCCTCGGTGTGTGCATGCTCTGCGAGGGGCTCCCATGCATCTGCTCAAATCGAGCAGGTTCTCCAAAGATGCGGCCGAACGTCTGCGAGTCTCCCTGCGGCTCAGGCATCTCAGCTCTGAGTCGATTTATAGGCAGGTTTCCCTGCATGGCCTGACGATTTCGCGTCGCCATGGCGGACATTGTTCCCTGGCCTGCGGCCCAGGGGTCCTGTTGATATAACCTATCCGCCAATTGCTCCACCTGTTCGGGTTCAAAGCGGCCGCTATCTGGTCCAAGTCCGAGGTGCTGATGGCCTGCCAAGATACGGCGCTAGGCCCTTGGCTTGGGGCGCGGCTTGGAGCCGCACTCCCGGCCTCACTCTCGGTGATCATGAAGATCTGGTGGACCTCAGGCTGGTTTCCCAGCTTGGCGGGACTGTAGTGATCCCCAACGTCCCTGTGGAGGTAGACCATGGGAGGGTCGACGCCCTCTTGGTCTCGGGACCACTGGTGTTTGACGCTGGCACTGCCAACGTCAGCCCACCTGCCAGGGGCCGACAGCACGGCGGGGGGGACTCTCGCCCGGCGATCCCCCATGCATTCGGGATTGTGCCAGTGCTTCCCCGTGGCCAGGTCCTCTACATGGGAAATGTAGTACGGTTCAATGATACCGTTGTTTCCCTCGGACAAAAGGACTCCGTTATCAGACCAACAGAACTTCATACCATCTTGCATGGCCTTGTGCCAATCAACGAAGATGATGATGTCTGAGTCTGGGTCCCACCCACTGTTCACGGCACGACGGCGGACCGTCGGCACGAAGTGGATGTGCGACCGGCCTGTCCCCCGTTTCTTCGTGTTGTGCTCGGGTCTACAGGACAAGCCGTGCCACATAATGCCTTCGAAGGCATGCCACCGAGTGCCATGCATGGCGACTTCGGGGTGCGGGGCCGGTCTCCCGGCAGGTTGGTCGCACAGTACAATATAGTTGTACAGCGACCATGGAGCTTTCAATGTCCATGAATGCCCCTGAGAGGCGCGGATGAAGATCTCGGGCTCACCGGAGTCCCGCATTAATACCTTGAACTGAAGGCGCTGTTTTTCTTCTCCGTCTGGTTTTCGGACATGAACCACTTCCATCATGATGGCTGCCAGTTGGTCAACCGTGCGAGCATATAGGTTCGCATTGATGACTTTGGCCTCGTCATGTCTTGGATTATACCCATCGTGTCTCGATTTTCCTGTGTTCCACGGATAATCATTCACGAGCTCCACGAGGTTAATCCAACCATCATGATCATCGAAGGAAGCCAGGTCCCACACAGGATTGTGTGGTTTGTCTGGCGCATGTCTGCATATCCTGCTGAGAGCTTTACTCAGCTGTTTGAGAGTGTGATTGGATGTAGGAAGGATGTTAGCTTGCCTGCATTTCTTCATGAATGCCTCATCCACCGAGCGTATCGGCGGGAGCTTCCGCAGAGCAAGTCTATCCCTGATCACACTCGGAGCCCCACTGGTGAAGGACGTGTCCCCTGGGCGGTGCAGCTGATCCACGGGCGGGTTTCCCCGCATAGGAGCCTCTGTCGCTGAAGAGGCTGCGGCTCCTGAAAAGGAGGAAGCTGCAGCGGCAGCGCCTGGCGGGTTTCCCCGCGGTGATCCGCGACAGGCGCTGCCCCTAATCGTCGGCGCCCAGGTGCCCCTAGACATAGCACCTTCGTCGGACCTTTTGGAACGGGCCGCCGCAGGCGAAGCTGGCGCAGGGGCATGCCCGGTGCGCTCGAAAGCTGCCGCCCTTTTAGCAATGGAGCTGCTGCGACTAGGCGGGCGTCTCCGTTCCTCCACAGGGTCCTGAGGTTGCTGCTTGGGCTCAGACGCTTGTGCCGGAGTTGCGCCAATCGGCGGTCTCGGAGTTGCAGAGCGAGGCGCCTCCATCTGCACATCTGGCCCAGGATCCTGAGAGCGCGCCTTGGGTTTCACCTCCGAAGACGACTTCGGTGCCGGGGTTTCACTCTTACCCTTCGAAAGTAGTGGGGGGCGGGGGTTTCCTAGCCCCCTTCATGTAAATCTTGTTGGAATCCTCCAACATCTTGCGAGTTGCCTCGCGTGCGCGTTCGTCT